CAAGTCCATTTTTAGGAATTTATCTTACACGCAACATAGAGAGCAATAAATATTTGGAAGGATACTTACTGATGCATTGTCCGTAATGGCAAAATATTAGAAATAATCTGTTAACTAATGGGGTCATATAATAATTTATACTATGCAGCCAGGAAAAAGTCTGAGTAAGTGTTACATGCGCTGATGAGCAATGACCTCTGTGTGCGAGTGACAGCTCAGGAAAGCACACAGGGGACCTGCTAACAGAGGGTGCTGTGGGTGGGTGGCTGAGGCTCAGGGGCAGGATGGAGCCTTTTCACTCTCCATCCTTTGTACCTTTCCAGTTGTGTACCAGGGGAAGGTACTCTTTATTCAAAAATAATTTAGATAAAACTGTCACAGAGGTCCCAACAAACTAAGGAACAAAACACACACAACCCATGCTGGTCAGCCACCAGGTGTCCTGGTGAAGAGCTGGAGGTCAGAGGGAAGGGTGTGAACTGGGAGCGAGTCCCACCGCTCAGGCATGGAGGGACTCTATGTGGCCAAATGTCCTTGGTCTTCCCAGATCTGTGCTCCCTGCTGGGCCACTGGCCCATTCCTTCACAGGGCAGCTGGAGGCTCTGGTGTCCAATTCATGATCTCTTTGCCATTCAAATGGACATACCAGTGGCCCAGGGACCTGCTCATCCAATAGGCTGAAAATCGAAGGTTGTCTCAGAGTGACCTCACCTGCTAGCTTCGGGGGCCCCCTCACCATGGGCTCTCGTCATGAGCTCCCACTATACTCAGCTCACCAGAGAACACAATCTAGAGAGGAGAGACCCACAAATGCCACAGTAACACCATGGCCTTGGGCGTTAGGCCTTGATCTAATTAGTTTCTTCCAAAGCTTGCAAAATTTACAGAATCTGGCAGTATTGCTAGGCCTGACGATGGAACCACAAATTGTCCAAGAGTCGGCATTGGGCAGGGCGGGCGGGGGCGGGGTGATTGGTCACTGCTATCTTGCCTCTGAGAGCAGTAGAGCTCAAACCACAGATGGTAAGGTCTTACGGTTAAGTGGAAGCTGTTTTCTCAGTTCATTCTGAAGTTACCTCTCCAAAGACTATATGAATATATGATCCGATTCTAAATCTTGACTCAAAGTCATTGCTTTGAAAGAGTCAATATGGCACAGACCCCATAAGATTCTAATTTACTCAGTGCATTCACATAACATAAGCACTATGAATATTCTGTCCAGAGTTTATAAGGCAGATATGGCATTCGTTTCCCACAGTCCAATGCCACCAACTAGTAGACTGTTTTTTTTCTAAATGTTTTTCCATTCATTTTTGAGAGAGAGAGAGAACATAGGCACGTGAGTGGGGGAGGAGCAGAGGAAGAGGGGGACAGAGGGTCCAAAGCGGGCTCTGCACTGACAGCAGCGGGTCGATGCAGGGCTCGAACCCACGAACTGTGAGATCATGACCTGAGCCGAAGTGGGATGCTCAACTGACTGAGCAACTCAGGAGCCGCCCTCCCCCCTCCGCCCCCCACCAACTTGTAGATTATTAAAAGCCACACCTATAAACTAACAACGAGAACTTTGTTCTGTGCTGTAAGCTGTGCCGATGAGAAGTGGATATTATGTGATCATGTAAAAATTCAAGGACAGCTCTAAACTGAATCTTCGCTACCAAGTTCTTCAATGTTCTCATCAGCAGCCACAAAATTCCCTCCCAAGAGTCACGTGGGATATGCAAAAAGGAACAGAGTCTGAATAACCGAATAAGGGGCAGCAAGCCAGCGGGAGAGGCCATTCTGGAACTCAGTGACCCTCACTCAGGTCACTGACTTTTCCAAGAAATGGGCAAGAAGAAGTGTCCCTGAAGTCAAGGAAGTTCATTCCAGCCTAGAAGGACTGCCTTCGGCTCTTCTGGTTTTTTTAGACGGTGGCCCTCCAAAATTCCAACTTTAATTCAAATTCAAAAGACGCTTCTGCCCCCACACTGGCCCTGCAGGGTCAGCCGGTCTCTCCTGGCCGGCCCTGACACTGAAGCCTTCCCTCTCTGCTCTCTGGAGTCACCGCTCATCAGGCGGCAGCATGGGACAGGTGCCAGGCCCTGGACTGGGGACTGGGCTCTTCTGTGGGAGAGCTGCATTAGTGCAGAGGAAGGCATTGCTGCTGTCCTCATGCCCTGAGCGCCAGCTCATCTAGGACCCGGCGAGAGGCCACATGCTGGCAAGCGTCTGCGCAGGAAGAACAATCAGCACATTCATGAATCATCCCTCTTTTGTACTTCTGCTTAGAAGAATGTAATTTGTTAATTTACGGGAGTTGTTATGGCTCAATTAAAGATGCCAACACAGAAGAGGCCGGCTGAGCTTGGCTCTGTGACCCGCCAAAGCCAGGTAGATCCGACCATGTTTCCAACAAAGGTCCGCCAATGGTTCCAAACAAGGCTCAACATCACATAATGAGCCTTGGCAAAAGACGACTAAATAGATGGACAACGGTGGGTAATGAGTACTTTCCTCAGCCGAATCTGGCCTTCCGCTGTGCACCCCGAGGGTCTAGCCTGGGAAGGCCCATTTGGGGGTCTCGCAGACCCAGTGATAAAACTTGAGGAACAGAAGTTACCGTCTATACCCAGATATAAATACGGAAGGAAATCCACAGCCATCACCCCCCCGGACCCTCTGTGTGTGTGGGTTGGGGGGGGGGGCGCTCGTTGCTGCAATGCCTGCACGTGGGATTTATTTGGGGGATCTCCAGCTATGCGGCAGCAACCATGTGAAACTGGAGGAGGGGGGGCAATCACATCTGCCTTCTGGGCTCGTTTCCAGCCCTGTGTTTGCTGCTACCCGCCCCTGCCTCTGCGGATTAGCAGGAGTGCCAACAGAGAGGGGTCAGGGACATCGAGAGCGCTGCCCCTTCCCTGGCCTTGACGAAGACATCTGAGCCATCAACACACCTGTCCCCTCTCCCAGGGACCCAGGATGCGCCAGGCGCCACGCTCATCCACCCTAGGAGGCCGGTGCTATTACCCCCACTGTGCAGATGTGGACCCTGAGGGGGAGGGGTGAAGCTATTAGCTCCTGTCTACACAGCCAGCAAAGAGTAATGGACTTCCAGACTTCTGAAGCCTGGGACACCCTACTACGCTGACCCCTGCAAAGAAAGCCTGGGTATAGCTCTGGGGTCCCTGCTGCAGCACAAACCCTACAACCACCACTGAGGTCTCCCCAAGACCCTTGGCGTCCAATCAGAAAATTTCCGCTGGATGCCTGCTCTGTACCAGGCTCTGGCTCAGGGTATCGAGGCAGGGGACGGGGTGGGGAGATACACAGCAACTCGTGGTTCCTGCAAGGAAGTAGTGGCATTTTGGCGTGTGACCACAAAGGCCGTGATTTCTCCTGATGTGGGGTTGAAGGCTAAATAGGCAAGTGCCCACAGGATGCTCCGGCCTCCGGCTCAGTCGTGTGGGTGTGGGTGGTGGGAGGGCCCACGGGTAGGGGCAGGGCAGTACCTGCATGGAGCCAGATCTGCGCCAGCGTCATCCAGGGGTGTAGTGGGCCCTGCTTGGGGGCGCTGCTCTGCAGAGAAGAGGCCACTTCCGACAGTGCCTGCTCCACTCTTGAGGCTGCTACTGACGTGGCGTGGACAGAGCCTGTGAGGGGTTTCCGAGAAGACGGCATCAGAAGTCAAAGGACAGACCCGACTGACTAGTCACCCCCCCCAACCCCCTCCCACACACAGACACGAGTTCAAGACGAACACACACTCCTTCCCCAGGACGTTTCTAAGTCTTAAGTCCATAAAGAAATACGGACAATCATTATGGCCTTGAACCTGAGTTTCCATCCAAGGCTCTAGCTAATCTTTTAGTCAACATCCAGAGCACATGCCGTGGGAGGTGCTCCCTTGAGGAGCTCAGTCTAGGACAGCGCGAGTGTTGGGCGGGGGGACAGGGGTACAGCTAGACACAGCTATGGCGCTCATGCGGAAACGTGGCATAAATGAAGTGCTACAAAGGAAAGTTACAAGGCACCCCTGTCAGGGCCTAAACCTGGAAACTATCGTCAGGGCGGGGGGGGGGGGGGGCGTGCATTGGTGACTGGGGGAGGAATCATCCTTGCCTCCTGGGGATGGAGGCCGTTCTTAAGATAAACCAAGCCACTTGCCATTCCACTCCCTGGCTTTTGCAAGGCGGCTAACACCCCTGGATTTGGAAACACATTCTAGGACATGACTTAGGAGTAGGAGAGAGAGCACGCTTTCACCTTACGTACAAGCAGATGTCGGTCATCAAGGCTAAACTGAGGGAGGATGGGCTGTAGCAAAGGCACCTATGCTCAGGAGTTGCTACCTGCCTGACTCTTGGGTAAAATTTGTCCTAAAAGGCTATGGAGAGGTGTGGACCAAGCACATTCACAGGCAAAGGGAGTTGGCAAAGGAACTTCTATTCGGAAATCAATTGACTCATTCCTCTTCGTGTGGCCCTTCTATGGGTCCTGATGGCTGGAGACCATCAGGGGCTTGGTCCTCACCTCTTCCCCAGTTCTCTCCTGGAGATGTGGTTTCAGAGCTGAGAGAAAGGGTCTCAGTTATTTCAAGGTGAAAACTTGATACTTCTATCACTGGCCACATTCTAAATTTGAATTCATCATAAAGTGTAATATGTAGATAAACATGGAACCATCAACTTATCATAAGGATTCAAATAGTGATAATATATAAAGACCAATGCTGACTACTCAAATAAACGGAGCTGGTTATACTCTAGATAAGACAAAATTGTGAGCATAAAAATAATTTCTGTTGGGGCTTTGAAGTGCACCATAATTTATTCATTTTAAGAGTATTTGCAGCAATAGACTGGCCATCCGTTTTGCGTTTTGACTGTTTCAACATGAAGGAAACACAGATACCTCTAAATACACTCAAATCCTTCAGCAGGGATTTGGTGGAGGTGGCTTATGGGAGGTGGACGGAAACAGGCCAGGAATTCACCTTCTGTGGATAATCCACACAGGGCACCCACGAGGACGAGCAAGAGGAGAGCCCCCACCCCCCACCCCCCATGCCCTCTGTCCCGGGAAGGAAGTGAGTCCTGCAGAGTGAATGCAGCCACACAGGAGGAGGAACCGGAGGCTGAGTTAGAAGACATCAATCAATGCCATTACCATCCGGAAGACCTAATGAAGTTCAGCTAAGAACTGACTCTTGGGTAGACAAAGTGTGTCTGACTACTTAGAAAAAACAAAAACAGAAAAACAAAATCTAAACAGCAAAGTGATTACACTGCTGTTGATTTTTTTGGTCTCGTTTTGAACTTTGTTTTTTTTTTAATGGAAAATAAATATTTTAACTTTGAGAACAAAGATTTCATATAGTTTTCCTGAGAGTTTCAGGAGCAGCTGTCAGTTAAATAAACAAGGTTGCTGTTGCTATAGTCTGACGTCGCCACGGTGGCTTGCCTTCTCATTGACTGCCTTGAACAGTGGTTCTCAACCTTGGCTTCACATCAGAATTACTTGGCGGGGCGGGGGGGGGGTGTGTTTCAAAACCCATGATGTCATGGATTTTTAAACCACCCCCCACACCAACTGAGTCACTAACTCTAGGGATGGGGCTAGGCCTATTGTTAATCACCCAGGTAATTCCACCGTGCAGCTAAGACTGAGACCCACCGACCTGGAGAGACAGAAAAGCAGATGTCATTAATGTTTGGTCAAAAGAAGCCTGAAAGCATATTCTGCACACGCCAGGCAGCGAGTGTGGGTTTTCCTGCTTCCCTGCGGCCCAAGACTCTGGAGAACAGAGTTCCAGGAAGATCTTGTTCTTTAAAGAACATTCGTTCTCAATTCTCTTGGTCTCAGGATCCTTTTATAGACTCTGCAGTTATTGAGAACCCCTCAAGAGATTGTACTTACAGGGGTTATATATCTCTCTATATTTACCACACTGGAAACCAAAACTGAGAAGCGCTTCAAATGTTTGGTCATTAATTCATTACAAAATACAACAATAAACTACTACTGAAGAAAAATTCTACACATTTTCTAGTAGGTTCTATGGTTCCCTTGCTACAAGGGACCTGTGACTTTTGGAGGGGCTAATTTTGCTCTTTGGATTCACTGTTTTATTTGGTCTGCAAACAAATTAATCAGAGCTACTGTTAAAGTTCCTTCTCTTTGTGATATCTATATACGACCAAAGTAGCTAATTATTCACGTAACAGTATGCTTCACTATGGATAAGTTCTGGCAAATGATGACGGTAGTGATGATGAGTTTTAGTGAACATGGTGTAGCAGGCTTCAGGCACTCCCAACTAGCACTTTACATAGATTATTTCATTTAACCTTTAAACAGTTCTGTGGGGCTGCTAACAATGTTATCTGCACGGTTTAGCGTACAAAATTGAGATTTCATGAGGTTATGAACTTATCCCAAGTCATACGGCCAGTGGGTGGCAAAGGTAGGGCTTAAACAGTAGTCTAACTCCAAATCTAGCCTCTAGCCTCTAAATTCAGCTCTGGAGCCACCTCCTCCAGGAAGGCTGCTGTGAGCCTTCTGTTTCTTCCCCCTGCCCCTCCCCTGTAAGAAGCTAGGCCTTGGTGCCTTGGGTCCTCGGTGCTCCTATACTCCCTAGGGGTGTGGCTATCACTGAACAGACCACACCGTTTCATGTTCAAGTTAATGTAACTGTCTCCCCTCTTAGACTGTGGTTCTGGAAGATAGGACGCGTGCATTTAGGTGCTCTCAGGGGCTAACGACGCCAAGCCCGTGAGAGATACCTGGTAAAGGCCTGTGGAACGAAAAAGTGAATGAATGACTACTGTCAACAGGCACGTCACTGTCTGAAAGCTGGAAGACAGTGGTTCCCTCTTTTGGAAAAGCACGTCTGTGTCCTCTAGTCTCCTTGACTAACAGTGGCTCCGAGGCCGGAACCTTCACGGTCTCAAAGGGTTTCTCAGCATGGCTGTCATCGCCTCCAAGCACCCGGACTGCAAATGAGTGTGGCACATAGTTAGATTAAAGTCACCTCACTCAGTGACTTTCTCCCATCTCTAATATAACCAAGCCATTTAAATATGGAGGGTAACGGAGGTTTCTCAGAAATATTTGTTTTTCCCCTTCCCAGTCAATCCCTTTTAACACCTGCTTCACAAGGGCAGACACCCTTCACGTCCTAAACCGGGGATGGATATTAGAGGCTTCAGATATGTACTAATAATAGGTGACTGGTAACAATGGCAACATTATCTCATAGTTAACACCCACTATTCCTGGCAATAACACCATCAATCAGATTCCTCCATTGGATTAGAATTTGGAGGAAAAAATAAATAAACACGATTATGAATCAGAATGGATGTATCTGATTAAAGAAAATAACCAAAACAGCCTGTATCTTACCGTCTCATGGGACTAAAATGGTAAGTGCCAAAATAGATACGATATCAAAATAGATTTGGATTTGTGTAGGTACACAACTAGAAATGCTAGTTCTAACCAACACTTTTTTTTTTTTTAAAGCAACCACTTTCCTTCTCACCAAAGTAAATGTATTCCCACAGCATACGTGGGGGTGGAAGGGATTATTACCCTCAGAGAAATGGACAAATTGAGGCTTAAAAAAGGAATCAGACGGAGGAAGGAATAGAAGACATTATTTCTAATTTGAAATCCAAGACTCTGGAGGAATCAGCTCCCATATAATCAGGTTCCACAGGTAAGCCAGGGAGGCCGGCTGCTGTACATCTCTTATTTAGCACAGGAATTCGAGACGTGCATATCACCGTCCTAACCTTGCAAGCTGAGCAGCTGTGGTGCTCCACCCAGTCCCTCAGCCACAGGGCACGAGGCCCTGAAAAGCCACCGCAAAACCTAACTGAACCGAGAGCTGACACAGGCAGGTGAGAATGTGCCCTGAAACCTGGTCCAGGTTCTGTGACCTAATCGTCCAAATGGTCCAGAAGGGGCCCCCCCCCCCCATCAGATGCCCTGGAGCTGAGATCTGTATTTTCTCAAGCCAACTGCTCTCTCTTCCCTGCCACCAAGATGCCCCCAAAGAAAGTGTGATCTTGGGCACCTCTTATGAAGGCAAAGTGTCCCCTGATGAACTGTTCTGATCCCTCCATCCCGGGTTTTCATCGGGGTTCTCCTTGGACCACCCTGTGTGTGGGATGGGGGAAAGGGACGGCAACAGAGTGACCCCGGGGAACCGAAGTGGACAGGCATCTCCCCACGGCTGAGAGGACTCAGGACCGAGGCCACTGACCTCAGGAAGCCGTGAGTCCAAGCTCCGAACCCCTCTGCTGACCCATGCTGCTAACCCTGTTGAGAAACGCTGCCACAGACAGGACACTGGGAACAGCCAGCTCAAGTTGCTTGTGCAGCTGCAGCCTTTACGAAAATCCTTTTTCCAAAGCACGCTACACCTGTGGTCGACATCGCACAGCCCTCCAACGTGGCAGCTGTACGCGAACCCCATCTGACCATTCAAAGGGATCTCGAAGGCAACCGTTTTGTTAAGCAAAAGGCACGATGAATGACGTGGCTTGGTTATGTTCAATGAGGCGTTATTTTCACAAGCGTGGTCACTGAATGCACGGCCTATATTTATATTCCAGCTGTCCTTCTGACTGTTCTGGTGGCATTAGGTAAGCGGCTATGGTCTGAAGGGTGTGCCCCTCCCTCTCCCCTCCTATCTTCTCAGCGTGTAGCAGATAAACTGGGTCTGAGAAGGAACCCTGCCCCCCTAGTGACTAGGCAGGCATCAAAGTCCAGGAACAAGGGACAGGTGTTACGCTGCGTGCAACGAAACTCGCTTATCGGAGAGTCAGTAGACACAGCTCGCGTGTGTTTGCTTGGGATCCGGGCTGCTCTCTGCTTCGCGGCCCCAGAATCAACTCAGATGCCTCACGTCTATGAATATGGGGAGAGTGATGGAGCATGGGGCTGTGCCCCAGGTCCCCTCTCTCTGCTGGTCACCCACATTCTCCCTAACGCTACAGTGGCAGATACCTGGCCTCCCCACAGTTTTTCTGAAAAGAAACAGAGCCACTCCAGTAGCGGGCACGCAGAAATCCTCCACGGCCGATGAACCTCTCTACTGATTTCCCCTCGGTTATGAAATGATGCAATATTATCTGTCAGTAGATTTCGTCCAGCTTCCGGTTTCTGAGAAGCTGTGCTCCCCCCCGCCCCGAAAACAATTCCAATAAGAAGGAAATGGAAGCAGTTACACCTTCTTAAAGACCCCGAATACTAAATAGCAACCCTGAATGACTAAGCATTCTTGCCAGAGAGCTTTGCTTACAATTTTTCACTTTTAACAGGAAAAGAACGTCTGTTTCTCGAGATAGGGCTTGAAAGTAAATCAGTCCGACGCCGCAGACTGCTGGCAGCCGGTGACCTCACACCTGCCACCTGTGCTCTGAGACCCAGGATGTCCTCGGGGCGGAAGGAGACAGCCCCTCCATAGCCAGTGATGACTGTCTCTTATTTTTTGAAGGGGGAGGAGAACCCACTCTCACATCAACATTATTTATCTCTGTACCTTTTTTTTTTTTTTTAACGTTAAACATGTTGGCTCCCCCCCACCCCACCCCCAGCCCCGATTTCTGCTGGAGGTGGTCTTGCTTCTCTAAGGAGGCTGACTTGGGGCTGGGTTCCTCGCTGTGCTGTGCGACGTGTCCTTCTCAGCTCCCCTCTTTGTAGCATGTCTGCTGGGGTGACAGGGGCGTGGGGCTCGAGTGCTCTACAGGCAACCGCCGGCCCTACCCACTTCCCATGACAACCAGGCCTCCTGCTTGTGGGTTCCTCCGATCAATAACTCTGGTCCCCATTCTAGGAGATACTTCCCTTTTTCACAGAGTGGGAAAGAGATTAAGACAGCCAAATAAATCAGGACAGCCAAACCCACGGTCTCAAGACGAGATCACAATTTCCAAGTGACTTTAACAGAATATCAAGCACAGCTGAAACCTGACAGGATGTGTCTTCTCCTGAAGGGGGAAAGTTCTTTCCAGGGAAAGCTTTAGGGAACGATCCCACTAAGGCAGGGAGAGACTGGGGGATGCGGTCACCAGTGGGCATGCGGGGGTGACCCAGCATGCTGCTGGCGGGTGCTGGCAGGGCCAGGTGGTCACACGGGAAGCATGGAGGGAAGCCGTTCACAAGCATGCAGGAAGATGCCAGCTGTCAGAGTGAGCCGAGCCATGGCTCTGGGCTGGAGACAGTACCTTCTGGAGGACGACACCAGGCAGATGCTTTCATCGCCATCAGAAACCCTCCCTGTTGCATATTCATGAGGCTGTGTCTTTGCACTCGAGTGTCTGGGGAAGGCTGTGTTTGTCTTTGAATGCAGCTTATGGGAAAAGCCTTCCCGGTTTTGGGTGAGGGTCTAATGATTGGACTCACACTCCTTAACTTCTATCCGAGTGCCATTTGTCACTGACTTGTCAATCTCCTGAGATTCTATTCAATCTTGTTTAGAGAAAGACACCACAGAACTA